CTCCATCACATACATAGTCTCTAATGTAAGCTATGACCTCAGCCCTCTGGCTTCCCCAGGCCTGCGGTGAGCAGAGAGGAGGAGGTGGGTCTCAGGAAGGGAAGAGGCAGACAGCCTACCTCTTTGGGGCCTGGGCTATTGGCCCCTGGGATTCTTACCTCGGATCTCAGGCCCAGTTACTAGTTGACACCTTGGGAGGATAATGTTAATCATATTCTAATTTCCATCCCTAATTTACTGTCATCACCTGACTTTGTCTCCATTCTCCCCACTCTCAAGCACACTAAAGGGTTGATCTTTCTCCCCAGCTCTGAATCTCCCTGGTCTCCAGGACAGAGATTTGGGGTGATTCTGAGTCTCCATTTCTTCAGTGTGTCTTTCAGCCACCTTTCCTTTGTCTTGCTCTTCCTTATGTCAAGGGTCCTTCTTGGATCCTCTATATCTTTGTTCCTGCAACCCTCCTCCTTGTGTCGGCGCGTCTTGACATTATAAAAGATATGTTTTTATTGATTTTTAGAGAAAGGAAGGGAGAGGGATAGAGATAGAAACACCAGTGAGATGAGAAACATCATTGTTCAGCTGCCTCCTGCACGCCCTCTCCTGGGGATTGAGCCTGCAATTGTGGCAGGTGCCCTGACCTCTTGGTTCCTGGGTCGAGGCTCAACTGCTGAGCCACACCGGCTGGGCTGCATGTCTTCACATTTAGGGATCTTTTCCAAATGTCTCTCCCTACGTTTTGCGGTCTCCATGTCCCGCTGGGGCTTCTCCCTCTGGAAATACCCCCAGGATAACGGTGAGGCTTCCTTGGAATGAAGAGAGGGAGTAGGACTTCCTTCCTAGTCCCATCCAGTGGCTACTGCAACCCCAAGGTGGGCAGGCAGTGTCAGGGCCACTGCCAGGTCGCTTCTCATTCAGGGCACAGGCGCCTGGTCGATGCCCCGCTGTCCGCCCCCCTCCCAACTGCCCTTCTCCAGGCCCGCGCCCCCTCCGCCCTCCTGGAAAAGGCAAATTTGACATTTTTAAATCCCGAGCCTTAGAGGGATCGATGCGGCCCCGGGCCCCACCCGGGGTCGATATTCCTGATTGGGAAGCGGCCTCCGCGCGCAGCGGGTGTAAATCACGAGAACTGGGAGCGGGAGCTCCGGATGCAACCGCGACCCAGGCACGTAGGGTCAGACAGGGTCCCGGCCTGGGGGGTCGGGGGGGCGTCCCCATGCTATGGAAGGACAGGTCTTAGGACCCGGACATAAGCAGCCCCGAGCTCCCCCTCCCTGCCCAGCTCTGCCAGCTCTGCGGCCGGCTCCGGTCTCGCTTCAGCGGCCGCTCCCCTCCGTTGCCCCCGGAGCCGCCAGGGAGGCCGGAGCCGGAGCCAGCCATGCGGCGGCTCCTCCGTGGCCGCTCCCGCGGGGCCTGGGCTTCGGCGGCGGCTGTCACGAAGCCGACAGGCCGGCCGGGCCGGGAAGGGGTGGGTGGCTGGCGGGGAGAGGTGGTGGAGGTGGTAGGGGCGGGGGAGGGGAAGCTGGCGCGGCCCTGGCTCTCCGTGGGCGCGCAACAGATATCTGTGGATTGAGGGACGGCAACGCGACGTGGGGCGCGGAGTCAGCGGTCAGGGAGTGGGCGTCCAGCCACTCGGAGGGGCTAAGCCGGGAGAGATGGCCCCTCTCCCCGCGACGGGGATAGTGAAGAACAAAAAGGATGGAGTGACAGGGAGGTTTAGGCCCCAACCTACAGCTGCCTCCACCGCCACCCCGCCCCCAATCCCCGAGAAGTTTCCAGCTGGGGAAACTGAGGCAGCGCGGTTGAGAACGACCGGTAGGTTCAAAGCGAGGTCAGCCAGAGCCCTGCGGGGGCCTCTGACCTCACCCGCCTACCCGGGGCCATTTGGGTAAAAACACCACCGCCCCCCGCGCAGCTCAGACCCTCGCTCCCACTTGAGCTGGTCGGAACCCCCCACGCCCCACCCCGCGCCAGTTTATAGTACCACAATTTGGGGAAAACAATCCGGGCCGAGTGACGGCCCCGTAATTGTGACAAAGTGAGTGCGGGCGGCTGGAGAGCGCGCGGGGCGGGCCGCGTGCAGGCAGCTGCGCCTCCGCCCGCCCGCCGCCCTCTCGTTCTCATTCCGGTCACCTCCCATCCCTCTCCTTGACTCCGATCCAATTCTTCTTCTCCAGGCCCCCGTCGCCTCCCTTCGCTTGTTCCTCCATCGCTCTTCCCTTTCCTCTCGGTAACAGCTCGGCCCCCACCCGCCCCCGCCCGCGGCAGGCCCTCCCCGGGGCGCCTTCCCCTCTCTCGCTTCTCCCTCTCTCCGCCCTCCACTTTCCTTCGCGCTCGGGTCGCCCTGGGGCCCCAGGCTCACACCGCACATCCGCTCCTGCCCTCCCCAGCCCCAGCTTCCCGAGCCTCTCTCACAGAGGCCCCGCAGCCGCGTACTCTGGGGTTCTTTGCCTCTGTCCCCCCACCTTCATCCCCATCCCCACCCCCCATTTCCCCACCGCTGCCTTCTCCGCCCCTTTCCCTGCGCCCGAAGCTGGTTTGTTTGTGCAGCGGCGGCGGCGATGTTTGCGGAGCTTAGCGCACCGCCGGGCAGCGCGGGCCCAATTAAGTCTCATTCATTATTCAACGCCCGGTCAGCCCCGACCCCAGCCGGCCGCTCCCCGCCCAGCCCATCCCCAAATCAAGGCTGGGAGGCCTTGGGAAACCAAGCCTTTCCTGTACAGAGGAGGAACCAGTCCCAGAAGGGGCGTGACTTGGCCAAGGTCACATAGCAGAGCCAGGACGGGGTCCCAGGCTGCTAAAACGAAGGCATCCTGCATCCCAGCTCAGTCTCAGCATCCAGGCGGGAGGAAGGCCTCACGGTCCTGGTGGGACGTCCCTCACCCCCTATCCCTTTGGGCTCGTGGTTCTCCCTTTCCCCATAGCTGCCGGGATACAGCAGACTTGGGCTCCTCAGGCCTCAGGCTCTGGCCTAGATGTAATGACCCCTGACTGACAAGCCTGGAACGGGGCAGTGAGGCAAACTCGTGTGTGTGTGTGTGTGTGTGTGTGTGTGTGTGTGTGTGTGTTTGTATGTGTGTTGGGGGGGGGGTATCCCCTCTCTGCAGCCTGTCTGTGGGTGTTTCTGCTGTAGAGGTGTTGGAAGCGGAGCCATCGGAGGCAGTCTGAAGGACAAGTAGAGAGAGAGGACAGTCAGCCTGAAGTGAGAGGCAAGTCACCTTCCCATTTGTGGGGTGGAAAGGGGCGACCCAGGACCTATTTGTGCATTTGTAAGGGTCTGTTCTGGGCTGTTTTCCCCTGGGCAACAGCACAAGGTGTCAGGGGACCCGCAGGGCCCTTTTGTTCGCGGCAGCACCACCTGGCGGCCGCGGTGCTTCGGTGCCGCGGTGCTGGAGCGCCTGGCCTGGGCAGGGCGCTGCGGAGGCTGGATTCCACCAGAAAACAAACCTTAAACTGACTTTACCCCAGAGGGCGGGCGAGAGGAGCTCCAGGTGTTCCAGAGGCAGCCGGGGAGGGCCACGGGGAGGAGCCTGGCCCCAGGGACCCGACTTCCGTGACATAGCAATCACAAAAAAGACAAAGTCCATTTGGATGCAAGTGGGAGCGGAGTGAGGGGCCATTTTGACTCTGAGGTCCAAGGAAATGACTGGTCAGATCAGATGCGCCTGGCAGCCGGGGTACCCAGGTACGGCAGCTCATGCGGGACCAGAGGGACTGGCTGGTGGTCATGAGTCCCACTCTAAGTAGAGGGGAGGGCAGAGACCGGCAGGCACACTTCTGCATCTTGTTTTATATTCTGGGGATTCATGGCTGCTTTGGGGACACTTTCCAAGTCGGCTCTGGCAGGAGGTGGCTGAATGGTTTCAGGTCAAAATGCAGTTTCTCAGAGCTGTTTAAGTGGAGGGAATTGAGGACTTTTTTCATGTTTGACTTGTGGGGAGATTTCTTTGCCTGGATAGCTGGAAGGCTGGAGAAGGGCTAAAACCTTGGGTCAGTGTCTGAGGGTAGCCATAGTCAGGGTTGGATTGGGGGACAGGAGCTTTCAAAATGTGTAGGAGCTTTAGAAGGGCCTCCTATTCACTCTTACTCCACTCCCCACTGAGTATCCCCAGGTCAGTGGTCCCAGGGGAAGTCTAAAATGTATGCTTATGATTTTTTTGTACCTGTTCTGAGTTTTCAGTTACTCAGCTGAAAGCATTTACTTTGCTTTTGGTTTGTTTGTTTTCTTAAAAATATATGTTTATTGATTTCAGAAAGAGAGGAAGAGGGAGAGAGAGATAGAAACATCAACGATGAGAGAGAATCATTGATTGGCTGACTCCTGCACGCCCCCTACTGAGGGTCAAGCCAGCACAACCCAGGCATGTGCCCTTGACCTGAATCAAACCTTGGGACCCTGTCCTAACTGGCTTGGCTCAGTGGATAGAGCACCTGCCTGTGGACTGAAAGGTCCCAGGTTTGATTCTGGTCAGTTGTGGGCACATCCCCTGTAAGGGGTATGCAGGAGGCAGCTGATTGGTGTTCCTCTCTCATCACTGTTTCTAACTCTCTATCCCTCTCCCTTTCTATCTCTGTAAAAAATCAATAAAATATATATTTTTAAAAACACACACAAAAAAACCTGGGACCCTTCAGTCCATAGACTGATGCTCTATCCACTGAGCCAAACCATCTAGGGCTACTGAAAGCATTGAAAACATTTTTCTCTCCTAAATTTGGAGTCTCTGTGGTTGTTAAATTACAGACATGAGGTGCTAGACTCAAGGGCATGGAAGAACCAGCATTTCAGGGACACTCAGGACACTCTGGACTCTATTATTGGAAGAAGAAATGGTAACTGTGTTGGGACATGGATATAGTCTTAAAGCTGCTTCCCCCTCCTCCCCTCCTATCTTCTAGGGTCTAAGGATAACTCTGGCTATGATGGCCATGCTTCTCACAGAGGACTACAGATTTCTGCACTCTGAGCAAAGCCAGGTGTTCTGAGACACTTTCCCTAAAAGATGGCCAAGGGGCTCCTGGTGACCTATGTCCTCTGGGCTGTAGGGGGCCCTGTTGGGCTCCACCACCTGTACCTGGGCAGGGACAGCCACGCACTGCTCTGGATGCTTACCCTGGGGGGAGGTGGGGTGGGCTGGCTCTGGGAGTTCTGGAAGCTCCCAGGCTTTGTAGCTCAGACCAACAGAGCCCAAGGACAGAGGCAGAGTTCAAGAGGCGGGACGCCCCCTGTGAGTCTCATTCGCTTTGCCGCCCAGGTGATCGTGGGCATCTATTTTGGCCTTGTGGCTCTCATTAGCCTTTCCTTCATGGCCAGCTTCTATATTGTGGGCCTCCCACTGGCAGTTGGCTTAGGAGTCTTGCTGGTGGCTGCTGTTGGCAACCAGACCTCAGACGTGAAGAACACGCTAGGGGCGGCATTTCTCACTTCCCCTGTCTTCTATGGCCGCCCCATAGCCATCCTGCCCATCAGCGTGGTGGCCAGCATCACAGCCCAGAAGCATCGCCGCTACAAACCGTCCCCTGTGTCAGAGACACTCAGTGTGCGGCTCTACCGCCTGGGCTTAGCTTACCTCGCTTTCACAGGCCCGCTGGCATACAGCGCCTTCTGCAACACAGCTGCCACCCTCAGCTATGTGGCAGAGACCCTTGGCTCCCTCTTGAGTTGGTTCAGCTTCTTCCCCCTCCTTGGCCACCTCATGGAGTCTGTCCTCCTCCTGCCTTACCGTGTCTGGAGGCTGCTGGTGGGGGATCATGGCTTCAGCAGCAGCTACTTCCAGGAGTGGGAGAAGCTCTATGAGTTTGTTCGCAGTTTTCAGGATGAGAAACGCCAGTTGGCTTACCAGGTAAGGCTTTGTGCCCTTTCATTCCTGCCTGGGAGTTAGACTAAGCCTTATTGGAGCTGGTGCTCCTTGTTTTCATGTCTGCTGGGGCAGGCGGGAGGCTGTCCTGGTTTCTTGAGGTTGTGAAGGTGCCGAGGCTCTAATAGTGAGTGAGTGTGTGTGGGGGAGGAAATGTGTATTTTATTTACTTTTCATTGAGGTATAACATATAAAAAGTATACTAATTTTATGTATATACCTATGTAACCATCACTTAGATCAAGGCATGGAATATTCCATCCCTAAGAATGTTCCCTCCTACCCTCTCCCAAGCTATGCTCCTTTCCTTGGAAGTAGCCTCTATTTTGATTTCTGTTACCATAGTTTAGTTTTGCCCATTCTTTTTTAAATTTTTAAAATTTCTTTATTGATTTCAGAGAGGAAGGGAGAGGGGTAAAGAGAGAGAAATATCAATGCTGAGAGAGAATCATTGATTGGCTGCCTCCTGCACACCCCCTATTGGGGATTAAACCCACAACCCAGGCATGTGCCTTTGGCTGGAATCGAACTCGGGACCCTTCAGTCCACAGGCCGATGCTCTATCCACTGAGCCAAACTGGCTAGGGCTAGTTTTGCCCATTCTTGAACTTCGAATAAGTGGATCATTCAGTATGTACTCTTTTGTGTCTGCTTTCATTCAACATTATGTCTGTGAGATTTATTTATACTGTTGCACACAATTGTGAAATGCTTGTTTTCTTGTTAAATAGTATCCCCTTATATGGACATACCAGAATTTGTGTATCCACTCTATTGTTAATGAACATTTGGGTACTAGGAGGGGACTATTCTGAATAAAGCTGCTATGACCATTCTTGTACATGTCAGCTTGGTGGACATACATGCTTATTTCTCTTGCAAGGAGATCCTGTCAGGGATGTGAAGTTCTAGGTTGGAAAATGGGCAGCTGTGATTAAAAGCAAATTTTGCTTCTTGCCATGAGATCCAGAGCTGGAATGCTAATGTGAGGCTCTAGGCCTTTTCTCATGTCAAGTAAGAGCCAATCCCAGAGCTATCAAAGCCTGATTTAAGAAGGGATCAGAGCCGAAACCGGTTTGGCTCAATGGATAAAGCATCGGCTTGGGGACTGAAAGGTCCCAGGTTCGATTCCGGTCAAGGGCATGTACCTTAGTTGCAGGCATATCCCCAATAGGGGGTGTGCAAGAAGCAGCTGATCAATGACTCTCATCATCGATGTTTCTAACTATCTCTCTCCCTTCTTCTCTGTACAAAAGCAATAAAATATATTTTTTTTAAAAAAAGAAGGGATCAGAGAAAAGCCCAGGTACCCTGACAACACATGGGATTCTAATTTGCCAGCTTCTGTTTCTCTAAGGTTTTGGGTCTCTTAGAAGGGGCAACAAATGAAGACATACATCAGCGATATCGGGAGCTAGTGAAGATCTGGCATCCTGACCACAACCCGCACCAGACAGAAGAGGCTCAGAGGCATTTCCTGGAGATCCAGGCTGCGTACGAAGCCCTGAGTCCGCCCAGGAAGCTCAGGGGATTCTAGAGGTGAGAAGGACATTTCTCTTTGAGGACGGACTCTTCCTGGCAGAGCTGGGCACTCTGTCCCAGCTTATCTGTCTACAGGGGGCACCCAACGGCATTAAAGAAACTGCTTATAGTTGAGATTGAGAAAACCTGAAATAGGTGAGAAAACCATTGTGGTGGAAAATGTATTTATGTATTGAATTTATGAGTTCTTGGCTGTTGTATTCCTATTTTTCTTAAAACCATATGGTGAAATGAAAAACATTATAAAATCAATAAAATATATTTTAGAGACTATACCAACCTTATCCCACTCTTGGTAACATTGATGAGTGGGGGAGGAAGGTTATTTAACTTTTTTTTTTTTTTTTTTTTTTTAATGTACAAAGCACTGGATTAGGAGATCGAAGGAAAAATATGAAGGTTTAGTATTTCACAAGTTATCCTCTGACAAAAAATATTTGACCAATTCTGTGGACTACTAAGGGGGTAAAACTGATGTTAAATTTTAAGATTTCAGGAAAATATTTTAGTTCCATTTATAGAACTTTCTAGAAGGAACAAGCTGCTGTGGAGTAGGGGGTATTCCCCCCTTATAGACTCCTCTGCGTGGAGGAGTATTGTGGAGAGCCCTCAAACTTTAGATGGGTGGTTGGACTGGGGTGGTTGAACTGGCTGACCTCAAGTCTTGCCCAAACTTGAGGTCTGACTCTGAGTTACAACACCTTGTTCCCGGGGAGTTTACAATCTGGTTGAGGATAACACAGGTGCACAGATATCAAAGTTCACCTCATTCAGTGTTTTGAACTAAGTGTCACAAGAGCTGTAAATAGAGTTCATTGGGATATTGGAGAAGGGATAGATGACATTGTTTTACGAGGATTTATGAAAAATTTCATGATTTTATATTTCGTATGATTTTATGGGGACTTTGGGGAAACTCTAGGGAGCCAGCATCTCCAGCATCTCAAAGGAGCCTTACTTAATCCCCAAGTTATTAGCCACGTGTGGAAGAAACAGTCCAGAATGCATAGGACAACTGGAGACCAGGCACAGGATGTGAAAATTATATACTTTTACTCCAGATTTATAGTTCTTTTAAAAAAATGTATTGATTTTTTTTACAGAGAGAAAGGGAACATCAATGAGAGAGAAACATCGACCAACTGCCTCCTGCATAACCCCTACTGGGGATGTGCCTGCAACCAATGTACATGCCCTTGACCGGAATCGAACCTGGGACCTTCAGTCTGCAGACCGACATTCTATCTACTGAGCCAAACCGGTTTTGGCATTTCTTGTTCTTTTTTATGTGTGGTTATCTTTCACCCCCCCCCTTTTTTTTTCTGAAAGTTAATTCTGAGCAGTATATATATTTAAAAAGTAGAATTATTTTGGCTACTATTTTCTATAAATTAAAAAAAAAAACAACCCACAAGTCCAGCCCTAGCTGGTTTGGCTCGGTGGATAGACCATCGGCCAAAGGGTCCTGGGTTCAATTCTAGTCAAGGGCACGTACCTTGGTTGCAGACTTCTCTCTAGCCTGGGCCCCGCTCAGGGCTCCTGCAGGAGGCAACCAATGGATGTGTTTCTCTCACACTGATGTTTCTCTCTTTCCCTCTCTCTTCCACTGTCCCTAAAAGTCAATAGAAAAATATCCTCAGGTGAGGATTAACAACAATAAATAATAATAATAATAATAATAATAATAATAATAATATTAGCAAGCAAGAAGTCTTCCTTAGTCTCTACCTGGATTGATTTAATGAAATCCAGTAAATTTGTATTCTCCCATTGCCACAAATAAAAAATTTATAGACTCTTTAAAAAGAGTTGGAAGAGAACTGAAAAGGCCTCTACCTCAATAACCTATTCAATGCATAGTCTCGAGAATAGCTTGCTTCAGAGATGAAAATTTTGGCTTTTCTTGAGTAGGAAATTTCCTTCCTTTCCTACCTTTTAAATATCTGTAATAGTTAAGTTGTTCTTTTATTTAACTGAAATTAGTTTCCCTGTAATTTATTTCTCTTTTCTTTTTAAAAAATATTTTTATTTATTTTAGAGAGGAAGGGAGAGCTAGAAACATCAATGATCAGAGAGAACCATTGATAGGCTGCCTCCTGCACGCCCCCTACTAGGGATCAAGGGCACAATATGGGCATATGCCCTTGACCAGAATTGAACCTTGGACCCTTCAGTCTGCAGGCCAACACTTTATCCACTGAACCAAACCAGGTAGGGTTGTAATTTCTTTCTTTCTAGATTAGCCATCTTTTGCTACAAAGAACAAAAACCAGCCCGACCAGTGTGACTCAGTGGTTAAACCAGGAGGTCATGGTTCAATTTCTGGTCAGGGCACATGCCCAGATTATGGGCTCTATCCCCTGTGGGAGGCATGCAGGAGGCAGCTGATCAGTGATTCTCTCTCATCATAGATGTTTCTCTCTCTCCCTTCCTCTCTAAATCAATAAAATAAAAAGCCCTTTCTTGATGAGAATCTGCCCTTTAGATCCTATCCCTCTAAATATTCCCTTTTCCAGATTAAACATCACCTTGTTTAAGGAACACTGTAGTTTGTTGGAAAAAGCACAGATGGAGAAGTGATGAAATGGGGTTCTGCTTTTGCCTTTTGCATGGTTAGTCAACGACTTTGATGAGTCACCTCATCACTTTAGGCCTCAGTTTTGTTTTTTTTATAGTGTGAGGAAGTTGGACTTAGAAGATTTTTTTTTTTAAGTAGAATTTCCACTTATTTTCCCCCCAGGGATCTTTTATTCACTCTTTAAAGATCTAGCTTCTTACATGGGCTTTGGTGGAGGGCGTGGGGCAGCACCCGCAGGTCTAAATCGGGGTGGGGTGTTGGGTCCTTCCGGGCTTCACAAGAAGGGTTCCCGACTCCCTTGCTGTGAATGGCACAGCTCACACAGTCATGCAGCTTCACATACAGCTTGGGAAGCACATAGGGGTCAAAGACACTGGCTTCGGAGATGCCATGGCCTCTACTGTGTTTCGAATGACAAACTTCTTAATGGCCTTGTCCTTGGGCACGTACTGGGCGCAGGTGGTGCCATGAACAGGCTGCACATGGCCTCGGCCTTTTTTGGCACAACTGTCATTCCTTCTTTTCTTGGGCATCTTGGAAACGAGGACCCGAGAGAGTTAGAAGACTTTTAAGATTGTTTTCAACACTGTATTCTGGGGTCTTTTCAGTCCAAACTTATGTTAAATGGTTTGTTTGTCATCTGCTGTGTGCCCTCCTGTGGATACTGTTTTGGGAAGAAAATAAAATATCTGCTCATAGAACAATATAATGGTCACCACCATCCCCAATAAAAAATCCACCTCTATCAAACTGTCTGTTTTCATTTATTCATAATTTCTTCCATCCTCATCCATAAATTTACATAAATAAACTTACATTATTGAATCATATTGGGAATATAATTTTATACTGTTTTATCCCCCTCCTAGAATCAGGAGCATTTATGTATATTACTATGAAGACTTCATATATATATTTTATGGAGAATTAATTCACATGCCATAAAATTCAGCCTTTTAAACTATACAATTTAGCAGGTGTTAGTATATTCATAAGGTTGTGCAAACACCAACACTATGTAATTCCAGAATGTTTTTACCATCCTAAAAAGAAACTCTATACTCATTAACAATTACTCTCCATTCTTCCCTGCCAGCTCCTAGCAAGTACTAATCTATTTTCTGTCTCTATAGATTTGCCTGTATTGGACATTTTATACAAATGGAATCATACACTATCTCCTTTTGTGTTTGGCTTCTTTCTTATGTTTTCAAGATTCATCTTTTCCCCCCCTTCAAATAACAATATTTTAATGCTGTATAACATTCCCTTTATTGGGAGACATTTATGCTATTAATATATATTTTTGTTATAAAGAATGCTGCATCAATATCTTCATGTTTCTAATTCATCTCTTCTCTTGAATTATTTCAGAATAAATTCCCATGGGTGAGATTACTGGGTCAAAAGGTATGAACATTTTTATGGCTCTTGTCAATATTGCTTTTAAATTGTGGTGCCCAGAACTAAATGCAATTCTCAGATGTGTACAGACAGGACAGGGTACTGTGGGGTTATTAAGTTCTCAAGGTCTGGACAATATATCATTCTTTAAATCAAGCAGCCTAAGAATTTATTAGCTTTTTCTCATTTCTCATGGAGCTTATAGCCAATAAGTCCCTTAGATATTTTCCTAGACTATGTTTCAACCTATGTTTGCATCTCCTCGATAACCCAGTGTTTCTAAGGACTCTCTGACATGAATTTTTTTTTTCTTTTTTTTTTTTTTTCTTTAGTGGTTGATCCTAACAAGCTGTAAAGTGTGGGTTTATTGCAGTCTTAGCTGAGAACTGCAGATGGCGCCTTAAGGCTGTCACAAGGGTAAAATATGTGCCTTCGCTTCTTTTAGGATCTGAGAGTAGCACCTCCATAGCAGCTTTATTACCAGAGTTCATTACCATTTGAGGGGAAAGAGAGAGCAACTGTGAAGTTGGATTTGGGTGTTATTCAGGGAAAGCTCCAATTGAAGCACGTTTTCTAGTTGTCATTTGATCCCCTAGGGGACTCTGGGACAGTGTATTTCATGTTAGAGGTTTCTTTGCTTGAACACACATTTCATGCCACTGCTTTGGCTTTTGAAGTTGACACCCTGAGAAGCTGAGATTTTTGTTTCTTTCTGTTCCTTGCCATCTATTTCTTTTAGTCACTGCAAGGAATTGAAACTTGTTCCACTAACTGGTTTTATTTATTTTGCTAAGGTGGGTTTTGAACAACAAAAGCAAAAAATTACATGGGGTTTCAGCTAAATGAGATTTCATTTCAGTGGTTTGTTGCTCTTTTTATTTTCCTTTTTCTTTTTTTTTTAATATTTTATTGATTTTTTTTTTTTTTTTTTTTTACAGAGAGGAAGATAGAGAGGATAGAGAGTTAGAAACATCCATGATAGAGAATCATTGATCAGCTGCCTCCTGCACACCTCCCACTGAGGATGTGCCCACAACCAATGTACATGCCCTTGAGCGGAATTGAACTTGGGATCTTTCAGTCCACAGGCCGACGCTCTATCCACTGAATCAAACTGGTTTTGGCTATTTTTCTTTTTCTTTTCTTCCAAATTTTCTCCTTTCTCCCCACTTCTCACCTATCCTTTTCAAGTCCATCGGCTTACAAATTATTATACATTTAAGCAAGACCTTTTCTGGATTTAAACTTGACAAGTTTCAATAGAACAAAGCAGTGCCTTGTGTGGGAAAATAAGAAGGGACTAATTTTAACTCAGTCTGTGACAGACTTTAGTCTCATTTCTGGGCTGAGAAAGGTAAGGAACAACAACCTAAAAGGACATTTTTTTCCCTAGCGTTAATAGGTCAGGCACCTTTCAGATTGATTAGTAGCAAGAAAGGAATGAGAGTATGGGAGGGGGGGTGGTATTTACATGTGTTCTATTCATGTTTCCCAGTCATTGATCTGAGGGCCAACGAGGCTCATGTTACTCCCCCACCTTTTCTTCTTACCCATAACCACCGGTTTAGACTTGGCCTCTCTTGTTTCTTTCTCCTTTCCATTCCTGGAGTCCATAGCAGAGAGTGTACATTTACTGTTCTTCTGTATAATTTGGGTTGGAAAGCAATTATCTGCAAGTGGTGCCATATCATTTTATATCAATTGACTGGAAACCCATTGTCTCTTAGGCGTAGACTTTTCTTGCACAGTTAAGAGACTAATCCTTTCAGACTCATCTTCCTTTTAACTCAAATTCTTTTTCCTTGTGTGTTTCTTATTCTCATGTAATGCCTTTGCTGATGTCACTCTTCTTTCCTACAATTATCTTTCTTTCTTTTTAAAAAAAAAATATTTTATTGATTTTTTACAAAGAGGAAGGGAGAGAGATAGAGAGCTAGAAACATCGATGAGAGAGAAACATTGACCAGCTGCCTCTTGCACACCCCCTACCGGGGATGTGCCTGCAACCAACGTACATGTCCCTGACCGGAATCGAACCTGGGACCTGTCAGTCCACAGACTGACGCTCTACCACTGAGCCAAACCGGTTTCGGCTGTCTTTCTTTAAAAAAAAAAAAAAAAAAAAAAAAATATATATATATATATATATATATATATATATATATATATATATATATATATAATTTATTTTTTACAGAGAGGAAGGGAGAAGGATAGAGAGCAGAAACATCGATGAGAGAGAAACATCGATCAGCTGCCTCCTGCATCCCTCCCACCAGGGATGTGCCTGCAACCAATATACATGCCCTTGACCAGAACTGAACCTGGGACCTTTCAGTCTGCAGGCTGACGCTCTATCCACTGAGCCAAACCGGTTTCGGCTTTTCCAGTAATTTTCTTGCAGCTAATTGAAATCTTACATTTCTTTTATGATCCAGCTTAAGATTTATCCCTAAACATTATCTTCACTGATTAATTCAATATCTAGTAATCTTTCTTCCTTGAATTCCTTCAGCATTCTTGTCAATTTTGTACCATTCTATCTAGCATTTTCTTACATGTTGCCATATAATCATTCCATCTCATGTTTGTCTTATGCCAAAGCCTCTTAAACGAATGGATCATCTTTTTTTAAAAAATATATATATTTTATTGATTTTTTACAGAAAGGAAGGGAGCGAGATAGAGTTAGAAATATCAATGAGAGAGTCATTGATCAGCTGCCTCTTGCACGCCCCCTACTGGGAATGTGCCTGCAACCAAAGTACATGTCCTTGACCAGAATCGAACCTGGGAACCTTCAGTCCAAAGGCTGACGCTCTATCCACTGTTTTGGCAGGAATGGGTCATCTTTGCCCAATTTAACTAATAGAACATTTCCTAAGTGTGTTAACTTGTTATTTAACAATTTAAAGCTTGTTTCCTCATTTATTACATGGGGATAATGATGCCTGCATCACAGGGATGCTGAGACAATAAAATAAGACAATGTCTTGAGAGCAGTTTATAAACCAAAGAAAGTATACAGAAGCATTATCAATTTTTATAAAATGATGACAGACTGTATAAATGAAAGACTATGCTGAAATTTCATGAATGAAATTACTTTTGGCTATTTTCCTCCCAGAATTAGTTATATATATTACACATAGAAATAAATTCAGCAATGATTAAATTCAAGTTTTTGATGAACCTGCAAGGCACTCTCACTGAATTGCGTGTTTAACATCTGAGTTTTGGTTCTGACATATTGCCACTAATTTTGCAATGTAACAAGTTAACCTTGGATAATTTACGGCCTTTTCCAGCTCTAAACATCTGATACACAACTGAATTTGGATATCTGACCCAGGTCTTTGGACCTCAGTTTTGTTCTCTGTAAAAGGGAAGTGCCAACCTAATCAAAACCCTGTAACAGAACTTTATAGATGGATGATCAAAGAAACATTAACCCTGTACAAAAGTCTCCTGGGAGAATTATGTTTCCTTGGGGGAAAGCTGGGAAAGCTGCATACTATAGAGTGCATTCCCTTCAATATTAGCAAATCACATTACCATATCAAACGCTCTGAGAAGTAAAGCAAGCAGTTCAGCTTGATTTTGACAAGTGTTTCCTAAACTCATTTGGACCTGGAACAGTTTTTTCAGATAACATCTATTTAGCATGTTAAAAATTTAGCATGAAACTAATTTTCTAAGACACATAGTTTGGACTGCCAATATGAATATTCTTAGGTATTAGAAGTAGTCCAAACAAAGGAGAAAGTACACCTTTATGAGTGAACTAGCTTTGTGCCTGCTGTGGCTTGTAGCCTTATCTTTTAGTCAACAGAGACTTTGAAAAATCATGCTCCTCAGTTAGTCATTAATTATCAAGTCTCCAAAATAATGAGTAAAAATTTTAAGCCTCTCAGATTGTTTAACTTGAGCTTCTTTTTCTTCGTCATAAAAACATAGATTGTGGCAATCAATCATTTCAGATACAAAATATCAACTTAAAATAAAAACACAAGAAAAGTTCTCATCTCCAGGATCTATTTGAAACAAATCTAATCAGGTCAGGTTAATATCTGCAGACTATATCTGCCAAGGTGAAGATTATGTCATAATTTATTCTTAGTTCTAGTTTTACCACTCAGTCATTAGGTAACCTGGGGTAAATGAATTC